AAGACATTATCAGCAACATTCCAAAAGAAGTGTTCGATATATACAAATACTTTGGTCTTCCTATGGTGGATATCATTACCAATTGGATTAAGGGCATTCCGCCTCCAGGCCGGGATACATCGCGATACTTGGCGCTGGTTATATCGAAAACTGATACCGCTTCAATCGAGAAATGGAGATTTCGCCAAAAGCCTTCGCTGATTTCTTCGTTTGAAGAGGCTTGTAGCCCACTGATGAAAACTGTAGGCTACATTTCAGTAAATGGCTCCGAAAATCTTCAACACGACAAGAGCAAGCCGCTACGAACTGCAAAAATACCATTCCTTACAGGCCTCCGCGTGCAAGAACCAGCCTGAACTGATAAACACGAAGTTAAGGTTTCTACAGAAAACTGTTATTGATTTGGGTTAAGCTTAAAAGCAAAAAATGCTGCGAATCTGAGGAAAGAAAAAATATTTAAAGGTTTATTGTGTTTTGCTGTGTAAGATTTACGTTAATGATGTATGTAGAAATGTATATGTAACCATTCCATTATTTCACGAAATACAGGCGCAAAGAAAGTGGTTCCCAGATCTCCTTCTGCGATAATCAGGAACTGAAACTGCTACAATCAACCTCGTACCCAGGGTCTCTCTCCTTCCTGCTCTCTTGAGCGAGAGAGGGCAGGAAGAACCGAGACCCGAGAACCGAGGTTGGGTTACTATTCTAATTCTCCAAGTTTGATAGTCTGTGTTCTAAGATTTCATTTTAATTACTCTGACTTCTTCAAACAGTCCAGAAAAGATTGGACAAGGACATTTCTTTGTATGGTATGCATACCATTGGTTGCCAATGTAATAAATTTCCTGCCAAGAAAACCAGCCCGCAAATCTGGTCGAGTTTATTCACTTCTCTTATATAATTTTGTGGCAAAAACCTTATTTAGGTTATGTTTTACTGCCAAAAGTGTGTCCACGGTTTGATCAAGTTTGATTGGCAAGGATACAGTTGTTAATTTTAGTGCGGCCATTTTAAGAAGGTAAAAGTTGTAAGTTTAGTCATACAGAACTGTAGTATTTGTATTCAGTTCCTCGCGAGCATGGGGTGGACTCACTTGTTCAATTTTGTGGAGGTTGGAAATTTTAAAGTAACACATTTGCTCCTACCTCCAATGAAGTTAAGGAAAAATTATAAGTATGTAACTCATAAGTAGAGTATAATTATGCATATTCTATGAGGTCCTAGTTTATTATGTGCGTATACAAATAATTAGATTATTTAGTATATTCACTAATTAACACATCATGCATGTTACAGCTGGTGCTGTAAAATCTTTCATTTTACTAAAGAGCAATGCAATAAAAGCCTAGACACCTTATGTTATTTCATAGTTTTTGCTATACTTAACTATGTCCTGTATATTTTCCAAGACTGGCACGGGATCTGAACCATGGTCCACTCGACAGCAGCTGGAGTTGTTATGCATATCATTATCAGGATTTCCATCCACTGCTCTTCCCTATACAGCAACACTAGTCAGGTCATTGCTGTATTTTGAGGAGTGAGCTATGGGCTTTCCAAGAGCAAGATTCTCTGTGTCAGTGAATATAAACAAAATTTATTTCACTTTGCTTTAAATATCCCCTCATTTCAAGGGTTTCATTGAGGGCATTGAGGTACCAGGCAAATTGACTAGTTGTGGGGACGATTTTACCTGCCTAGTTTGACCATTTATAGAGGAAAGTTTTCCTTTTAGCAGAAGTTGAGTACAAATAGTTTTGCCCATCTGTTAAAACCAGTTGCCCTTCAGATGAAACCCCTGCATTTGCCTGAATATGATGAATTGTTTAGACAGGAATGACCATCATTGTGTCTCTGAATGCTAGGTACATACATGCACAGAGATGCTTCTCATTGATTATTCAGATGGGGGGACTGCCAAACTTGCTAAGAGTGGTCAACTGACTTGGGACTACAGTGGAAACCTGTTAATCCAGTCACCAACGGACCACAAAAATCTGGGCGTAAAAACGTCAGGTGGCCATAAGGTGGGGTTCCGCGGTATGTGATACGTGGGTTTAATAAAGATACAATTCTAGTCCCAAAGGTATCCACTAAAGGATAAGGACTACATTCTCTTAAAACCTTGTGGCAAAAAAGACCTAGAATATCTGGATCATGTGTACTAAAAGCATCCGCAGTAGAATGTCAATCAATACCCTCAATCGACCTTTGATCAACACTCTATCAATGTCTCAATCAACACTTGATCAACATCTTGATTGATGCTTGATCGGTGTTGGTTGATATACAGCTGAGTGTCAACTGACACTTGATTAGTTGACTCTCAACTGATGTTCCACCGAGATATCAACTGACTGTCAATTGAGTGTCAACCAACACGTCAATCGAGTATTGCGTGTATTTTGATAATATCATGATTTATCACTATTTATTCTATAGATAGGACCCTGCGTGCACTCTGATTGGTCAAAAACCCATGTTTCATCAGAGTATAAAACATGGAAAAAGTGTGTTTTATTGTTTTTCACCATATTACCTGTATGTCATAAAGCAAATGAAGAAGCCAAAGCCGTGTATTACAGTGATAACATACTCCGGACGTGCTCTCCGTGCTCTCTCGTGCTTCATACTCATCCGATTTTGAAATTACTTGCACGATTTCTCCCTTTATTAAATCCATTTTGAAATCACTGGTTATCCTTGCAATCTGATTGGCTCTCAATGGTGCGATTTATTCACGAATCGCACTATTTTTTGCCC